TACATTATACGAAGATGCTACGGGTACTTACCGGTATCACTTCCCTTTCGAGAAATTCACGAACAAAACAAAAATCAGTGACATATCTCCCTATGAACACGAAAAGTATATCGCAGAGAAGATCAAGATCGTTACTGTTGTGTCTGAAAATGTTGATTTGATAGAGCGGAATCTACAGAAAACTGATATATTTCAGGAACTAGTCAGGAGATACCTGTAATGTCGGATGAAACAGTTCACTAGGAGTCTTGGAACCTTATATTTGTGCTCTGTCATCGGTTTAATCGTCAGTTCCAGTAGGTCTTTATTGCATGGCGCATGAACCACATAACGTCCTTTGAAATCTGCATTGTTCCACAACTGAAATGGAGGACCTATACTCAAGTTATTGGGGCGTTTAAAGAAGGAGACTCAGTGCTGCCTGTGAATGAGGACTGACCTGTCTCAGTTTGATAACCAGATCTTTGGCACCAGCGAACCACTGAACATTTCTCCGAGAAACAGCGTCAATTATGTGGAGACATAACATTTCGCGCTCCATGATACCCGACTCGGTTTGCTGTGAGGGAGATGGATCTCTCCACTCACCAGAAACATCCTGAAAGTACTTATTAATCCTCCTGTCCAGATCGAAGTCCTTTCAGTTCCATATGAGATTGGAAGCCTCCCGGGTTAATAGCAGAGAAGACGAAGAAGTTCAACGCTGATCGCGATGTACACATTCACGAAAAAAAGTAGGTTCTCTCAAAAACACTAGAGCTCAGAATCGATAAAAACGAAAGATTGTGGTCAAGATCGAGTATATTCAGACCGTAACGTCGAAAGACTCGGCTTTGATAAGACACTGAGCAGCTTAGCCCAATCGCTGACAAAATTGGATAGTTCGCAGGTCCCCCGGTGTCAATGCTAGGTGATGGTATAATAGTGATGACACCCCCGAGTGCTATTTAAACACCCAGTGAGCACACCCGGCCGATTCACATGGTCCTGCAGAGGCAGCTACAGCACCACGTGGAATAGGCAGGCGAAGGAGGGTGATTGAAATACCGACCGCTAACAACTTGGCGACCATATCAATGTGAAGATTCATTCTTACTCTTTGCTACATAAAACACCCTGCGCATACGGATTTCCTCCACGGAGTGACGACATCACAAATGGAAGTAAGCACAGCTGAAGGCATAAAGCATACGCAGGAAAAGGGTGGTCCTGGAGGTCCAGGGGGACTAAACTGGCAGCTTGATAAGGTCGAGGGGAGTGGTGGTCAAATGGGTGCAATGGGGTGCCTCTAAGCTTTTTCTCATGTCATTATCTTACCCATTAGTAATGTCATGCATGAGCAA